ATGGTTTTTGGGACTTTACAAGCTGTTGGAGTATGAGCAGGGTAATATATATTGAAGAGATTCAAGGAAACCGGTTATTATAGATTTAGCCGGACTTGAGTCTTGGAAATGGGAAATACAATACCTTCACTTCAAAGGAGGGGTCTGGGATATTGACAGTTTGGAGGGACTTCTAAAGTGTCATATCTGAGTGCCTCTGCAAAGACAGTGATTATGTATGAGTGAGGTGAAAGTGTTGAGTAATGAAAGTATTTTCTTTTTGGGGATTTTCTTTCTTTTTGGGTCGCCCTGCCTTGGTGGGAGACAGCCGACTTGTTAAAAAAACAAAATTAGGTGAAATAGTCAGGTGAAATAAATTTTGTTTCGTAGGGTGGTGAACATGAGTGTCTTTGTGATCCACAAATTTTAAAAGCTGTTCACTAAAATCCATATAAAAATTTATGAATTTAGATCCTGCAGATTTTGAGGAATTGCTGTACATGTATATGGCATAAATGGCTTCTGTACTCACACATGATGTACTATACTTCCCTAAGGACTCAGGAAGCCTCTATCTCTGTTACCCTCAAGTCTCCCATGTACTAGACTACTCCACCAGCATCTCCTGCCTGATGCTCCATTGTTAACTATTTAATGACTAAATATGATGTACAGTACACATTTCAATTTTTAAACAGAAAAATTTAGTTTTTCAGTCAATCTGTTTTGTATGTATTGTGCAGTGCTTTGCTTCAGTAATGTTTATATGCATAAACTCCTATTTCTTTTATTTACTGAACCTTTTTTTTTTTTTATCCCTCTTGGCAATTTTTTGACACTTCATATGACACACACACAGACATTCAATGATATACAGGTTGGCCATCACTAATCTGGCATCAACAGGACCTGTAGGTTGCTTGATTAACGATTTTGCCGGATTACAGAGTGGTTAGGTTAGAATACACTGAACCCAACGGCAATATTTATGCATCAGCAATTTTCACCACCTTACGCCCTATTTTTGGCCCATTCCATTGTTCCAGTCTACTAAACTCATAGCTATTTCACTAGTATTCCTTCTGTATCAGTTGAGTACAAGAAACTGCCTATTTACCTATTTCAAATACCCAATAAAATGATCAGAAATTGGTAATTTGGCCAATTTCACACAAATTTCAATAGATGCCAGTTTCAAAATAGGATCCAGAATAAACAGTACAGACATTCCTAGCACTATAATAACATTTTCTCTGTTCATTAGTCACATCTCCAGGCCCCTCTTGAAATTTTATTTGCCCCAAAAAATAGAAGATTTACTGTTATGCAGACTACTGCATTATTATAATAACTGTATAAATAATGTCAACCCATTCATGACTGTGTATTTTACCTGCAAATTGGACGTGTATTGGACAGTGAAGTCATTCGTTTACTCTTGAACATCAGCAAAACTCAAACATTTCCGCTACTTTGAACTCAATTTTAAAGTACTTTCCAGCATGAAACTAATCAAAATTATATCTATTTCTTTAACCCTTAAACGGTCCAAACAGATCGACGTTCAAATTCGTATTGCTACAAAAATAGATCTGCTTTTTTTTTACATATTTTCAAATATAACAAAAAAAATGTAGATAAAAGTTTTTTTTTACACGTTTTCAAATGAAAAACTAAAAAGAAGATCTACATTTTTTTACATACTTTCAGATGTTGAAAAAAACGTATATATACATTTGGACCATTTAAGGGTTAATATATCTTCCATTCTATCAAATGAGACCAAAAAAAATGAGAATATAACCATATGAAAACACACCGCAAAGTCGCTGTTTTACACCAAAGGCACAGGCGCTGTTTTTTCTCATTATCCACTGCATACTGCAGGGTTTTTTTATATAGGTCACACTTACCACACAGACGTATTCTCTCATATGTAGGCCCAAATTTACCAGTCACAGCTTATCCCTGTCTAAGGCCTACTTTTACTGAGAAACAATCTTCCTCTCTTTTACATACTCTGACCTGAGCCTCACTATCCTCATAAAAACTTTTCACTGCTTTCAGTAACCTACCTCCTATTCCATATATTTGCACCATCTGCCATATTGCCCCCTATCAACCCTATCATATGCCTTTTCCAAATCCATAAATGCCACAAAAGCCTCTTTACCCTTATGTAAATACTGTTCACCTATGTTTCACTGTAAACGATTGGTCTACACACCCCTTACTCTTCCTAAAGCCTCTTTATTCATCTGCAATCCTGCTCTTTGTCTTACTCTGAATTCTTTTAAAATGACTACCATACACTTTACCAAGTACAGCTTCTCCTCACTTTGCAATGTACTCAATTACCGACGCCTGACGTACACCAGGCTCTCTGACCAGTATTTGTACATAAATAATGTATATTTGAGCTGATTTTCACTATTCTTTTTATTTCAATATACAGTACACTACTGTATAAACATTTAAAAATACAGTGGACCCCCGCCTTACGAACGCATTGCGTTACGTTAAATCCGCCATACGAAGCATTTGAATGCAAAAATTTTGCCTCGCCTCACGATAAAAACTCGCCTTACGTGATTCGTCCGGGACGCATCCCACATGTGGCCTCAGCGCCAGTGTTTACGAGCCAGCCAGTGCGGTCGCATCTATGCATACATTCAGTACATTTCACATTATCCCAGTATTTTTAGTGCTTGTAACTGCAAAATATGTCACCATAGACCCCAAGAAAGCTTCTAGTGCCATCCCTGTGGTAAAAAGGGTGAGAATTAGTATGGAATTGAAAAAGGAGATTAAGGAAATGTGTGCAAAGTGGGTTGAACTGCAAACCTTTACGGATGAAAATCATCCTGACACAGCTACTGCAAGCTGTGTTGGCAACCTGTACAATGACAATGTTATGGACCATTTTAGGAAAGTCTTAAAGGAACGGGAGGTACAGAGCTCTATGGACAGATTTGTTGTGCAACAGAAGTGCTGGGAGCAAGGGGTTACTAGCCCCTTGCTCCCAGCACTTTAGTTGCCTCTTACGACATGCATGGCTTACAGAGGAAGAATTCTGTTCCACTTCCCCATGGAGATAAGAGGAAATAAACAAGAACTAATAAGAAAATAAAAGAAAATCCAGAGGGGTGTGTATATATATATGCTTGTACATGCAAGTGTAGAGTGACCTAAGTGTAAGTAGAAGTAGCAAGACATTCCTGAAATCTTGCTACTTCTACTTCTGTGAGACAGAAAAGACACCAGCAATCCTTCCATCATGTAAAACAATTTCAGGCTTGCTTCTGTTTTACACTCACTTGGCAGGATGGTAGTACCTCCCTGGGCAGTTGCTGTCTATCAACCTAGTACCTAGGACTCAACAGGCTTATTTCCCTATAATTTTTACCCTTTTATCCCCTTTGCCTTTATACAAAAGAACTATTCATGCTCTCTGCCAATCCCTAGGTACCCTAGTCTCTTCCACACATTTATTAAATAAAGGCACTGACCACTCCAAAATTATATCCCCACCTGCTTTTAACATTCCTGTCTTTATCCCATCACTTCCAGCTGATTTACACCCTTTTATTCTACCCACTGCCTCATGCACTTCCCCCACACTAACAACTGGCTCTTCCTCACTCCTACAAGATGTTATACCTCCTGCCCAATACATGAAATCACAGTTTCCCTATCTTCATTAACATATAACAGTTCCTCAAAATATTCCCTCCATCTTTCTGATACCTTTAACTCTATCTAATAACTCTCCTCTCCTATTTTTAACTGTCAAATCCATTCATTCCCTAGGCTTTCTTAACTTATTAATCTCACCCCAGAACTTTTTCTTATTTTCAACAAAATTTGTTGAAAGCATCTCACCCACTCTTTCATTTGCTCTCCTTTTACATTCCTTCACTACTCTCTTAACCTCTCTTTTTCTTTCCTCTCCTCCCTTCTTGTATCACTTTACTATGTAAAAACCTCTCACATGCTAACTTTTTCTCTTACTACTCTCTTTACCTCATCATTCCACCACTCACTCTTCTTCCCTCCCACACCCACTTTCCTGTAGCCATAAACTTTTGCTGAGCACTCAAACATTACATTCTTAAATCTATCCTATACCTCTTCAACCTCATTGCTTATACTCTCACTAGCCCATCTTTCTTCCAACAGTTGTTTATATCTTAGCCTAACTGCCTCTTCCTCCTTTAGTTTATAAACCTCACCTCTCTCTTAATTGCTGATTCCAGTCTCCTTGTATCCCATATACCTTTTACTCTCACTGTAGCTACAACTAAAGAGTGATCTGATATGTCTGTGGCTCCGCTATAAACATACACATCCTGAAGTCGACCCAGCAGTCATTTATCTACCAATACATAGTCCAACAAACTACTGTCATTATGCCCTATATCATATCTTGTATACTTATTTATCCTTTAATTCTTAAAATATGTATTACCTATAACCAAACCCCTTTCTATTCAGTGTTCAAAAGTCCCTATTATCATTTATACCTAGCATCCCAAAATTATCTACCACACTCTTTCTAACCATTTCTCCCACTTGAACACTTAGGTCCTCTACCACAATTACTGTCTCACTTAGTTCAAAGGTTCCTAAACATCTCCCAAAATCTCTCTCCTCTACACTCCTCTCTTCTCCAGGTGCGTACACACTTATTTTAACCCACTTTTCTCATCCATCCCTTATTTTAATCCACATAATTCTTGAATTTAAGCATTGATGTTCCCTCTTCTCCTTCCATAACTCATCCTTCAACATTATTGCTACCCCTTCCTTATCTCTAACTCTCTCAGATACTCCTGACTCAATCCCATTTATTTCTCACCGCCTAAATTCTCCTACCCCCTTCAGCTTTGTTTTGCTTAGAGCTAGGACATCCAACGTCTTTTCGTTCATAACATTGGCAATCATCTCTTTCTTATCATCTGCACTACATCCACGCACATTGAAACATCCCAGTTTTATAAAATTATTCTTCTCTTTTTTAGTAATTCATACGGAAGAAGGGGTCACCAGCCCATTGCTCCCGGCAACCCAACCACCTCCTACGACACGCATGGCTCATGGAGTTTCAAAAAATTCTTTTCCACCTCCCCATGGAAATGAAAGGAAATAAAAAAGAACAAGAACTATTTAGAAAAAATAGGAGAAAATTCAGATTGGTGTGTATACAAGTGTTCATGTACACGTACATATATGTAGTGTGCCTGTTTTCTTGTGTGTTTGAGTCAGAGAGAAAAAGACACCAGCATTCCTACCATTGTGTAAAACAACTACAGGTTTCCATTTTATACACATTTGGCAGGATGGAAGTAGCTCCCTGGGTGGTTGTTGTCTACCAGCCTACTACTAAGATTAATGTTTACAAAAAGAAAGGGGGAGGGGGCTTACCACACTTCCACCAAGTGGTCATATACAAAAAAAAAAAAGAAATGAATTTGATCCGAGAAGAACTAAGAAATAATTTATCTAAAATGCAGTCATTTTTGCTATACAATACAAAGTTGAAAAAAATAGTTCATTTCTTTATTTTTATAAAACAAATGTGACCATGCTAGATAGGCACCAGATGGCCATATTACAACAAATACACAGTTGGTCTAAAAAAAAAAAAATTAGAAAGCATGAGAATAGGGGAGCACTGCAGTAGTCCCATGCTAGGCAGGTCTAACTCACCCATCCATTGCATAAGATGTACACTGCAGCAAGACTACTGGCCCATGCTGGGCAGGCCATAATTGCATACAATTATTGCATATTTGGAGGGGAGGAAGGATAGGGGTTGTCCTAGGAAAGGATGGAGGGAGGAGGTAAAAGAGGTTTTTGTATACAAGGGGCTTGGACATACAGCAGGCATGTGTGAGCATGTTAGGAGTAAATGGAGACGCATGGTTTTTGGGACCTGACAAGCTGTTGGAGTGTGAGCAGGGTACTATTTTGTGAGGGGATTCAGGGAAACCAGTTAGTTGGACTCGAGTCCTGGGGGTGGGAAGTAAAGTGCCTGCACTTTAAAGGAGGGGTTTGGGATATTGGCTGGAGTGACATCTGAACTGTCCTATCTGAGTGCCTCTGCAAAAATAGTGATTATGTGTGAATGTTGGTAAAAGTATTTCTTTCTTTTTGGGTCACTCTGCTTTGGTGGGAGGTAGCCAGTGTGTTGAAAAAAAAGATTTATTTGGTAGAGATTTGTAAAGGAAGTTATTTATGTTCTATTTGTCAGTATTCATCCACATCTAGTACACATCGGGGGTTGTCAAGCACAGGAGAGGATTGAAGACAGGCAAATGACACCTTCCTGGCTTACTTTACTCATGCAGTTATTTTCAGCATTCTTCCCACACTATATTACAGCCTCTCCTCACTTAGCGACGTACTCGTTTACCAACCACTCAGACTTACGATGGGCTCTTTGACCAGTATTCATATCTAAATAATGTATGTTAGAGCTGGTTTACTCTATTCTGTTTATTACAATATACAGTACACTACTGTATAAACATTTAAAAATACAGTATACCAGAAATGCTATAAATGTAGGTTGGTAGACAGCAACCACCCAGGGAAGTACTACCGTCCTGCCAGATGACTGTGAAACAAAAACCTGTAACTGTTTTGCATGATGGTAGGATTGCTGGTTTCTTTTTCTGTCTCATAAACACGCTAAGATAACAGGGATATCTTGCTACTCCTACTTACACTTTGGTCACACTTCACAGACACGCACATGCATATATATATATACATACATCTAGGTTTTTCTCCTTTTTCTAAATAGCTCTTGTTCTTTTTTATTTCTTCTATGTCCAGGGGGAAGGGGAAAAGAATCTTTCCTCCGTAAGCCATGCGTGTCGTATGAGGCGACAAAAATGCCGGAGCAATGGGCTAGTAACCCCTTTCTCCTGTATACAATTACTAAAAAGAGAAGAAGAAAAACTTTATAAAACGGGGTTGCTTAAATGTGCGTGGATGTAGTGCGGATGACAAAAACAGATGAATTTCTGATGTTATGAAAAAAAAGAAGTTGGATGTCCTGGCCCTAAGCGAAACAAAGCTGAAGGGGGGAGGAGAGTTTCAGTGGGGGGGAAATAAATGGGGTTAAATCTGGAGTATCTGAGAGAGTTAGAGCAAAGGAAGGGGGAGCAGTAATGTAAAAAGATCAGTTATGGAAGGAGAAAAGAGAATATGAATGTGTAAATTCAAGAATTAATGTGGATTAAAGTAAAGGTTGGATGCGAGAAGTGGGTCATAATAAGCGTGTATGCACCTGGAGAAAAAGAGGAATGCAGAGGAGAGAGAGAGATTTTGGGAGATGTTAAGTGAATGAATGAGCTTTGAACCAAGTGAGAGAGTAATTGTGGTAGGGGACTTGAATGCTAAGTAGAGAAACTTTTAGAGAGGGTGTGGTAGGTAAGTTTGGGGTGCCAGGTGTAAATGATAATGGGAGCCCTTTGATTGAACTTTGTATAGAAAGGGGTTTAGTTATAGGTAATACATATTTTTAAGAAAAAGAGGGTAAATAATATACACGATATGATGTAGGGCGAAAAGACAGTAGTTTGTTGGGTTTTGTATTGGTAGAAAAAAAGACTGTTGAGTAGACTTCAGGATGTACATGTTTATAGAGGGGGCCACAGATATATCAGATTCACTTTCTAGTTGTAGCTACACTGAGAGTAAAAGGTAGATGGGATACAAGGAGAATAGAAGCATCAGGGAGAGAGAGGTGAAGGTTTATAAACTAAAAGAGGAGGCAGTTAGGGTAAGATATAAACAGCTATTGGAGGATAGATGGGCTAATGAGAGCATAGGCAATGGGGTCGAAGAGGTATGGGGTAGGTTTAAAAATGTAGTGTTAGAGTGTTCAGCAGAAGTTTGTGGTTACAGGAAAGTGGGTGCAGGAGGAAGAGGAGCGATTGTGGAATGATGATGTAAAGAGAGTAGTAAGGGAGAAAAAGTTAGCATATGAGAAGTTTTTACAAAGTAGAAGTGATGCAAGGAGGGAAGAGTATATGGAGAAAAAGAGAGAAGTTAAGAGAGTGGTGAAGCAATGTAAAAAGAGAGCAAATGAGAGAGTGGGTGAGATGTTATCAACAAATTTTGTTGAAAATAAGAAAAAGTTTTGGAGTGAGATTAACAAGTTAAGAAAGCCTAGAGAACAAATGGATTTGTCAGTTAAAAAATAGGAGAGGAGAGTTATTAAATGGAGAGGTAGAGGTATTGGGAAGATGGAAGGAATATTTTGAGGAATTGTTAAATGTTGATGAAGATAGGAAGCTGTGATTTCGTGTATAGGGCAAGGAGGAATAACATCTTGTAGGAGTGAGGAAGAGCCAGTTGTGAGTGTGGGGGAAGTTCGTGAGGCAGTAGGTAAAATGAAAGGGGGTAAGGCAGCCGGGATTGATGGGATAAAGATAGAAATGTTTAAAAGCAGGTGGGGATATAGTTTTGGAGTGGTTGGTGCAATTATTTAATAAATGTATGGAAGAGGGAAAGGTACCTAGGGATTGGCAGAGAGCATGCATAGTTCCTTTGTATAAAGGCAAAGGGGATAAAAGAGGGTGCAAAAATTATAGGGGGTAAGTCTGTTGAGTGTACCTGGTAAAGTGTATGGTAGAGTTATAATTGAAAGAATTAAGAGTAAGACGGAGATAGGATAGCAGATGAACAAGGAGGCTTTAGGAAGGTAGGGGGTGTGTGGACCAGGTGTTTACAGTGAAACATATAAGTGAACAGTATTTAGAAAAGGCTAAAGAGGTCTTTGTGGCATTTATGGATTTGGAAAAAGGCGTATGAACAGGGTGGATAGGGGGGCAATGTGGCAGATGTTCCCAAGTGTATGGTGTAGGGGTAGGTTACTGAAAGCAGTGAAGAGTTTTTACGAGGTAGTGAGGCTCAAGTTAGAGTTTTGTAGGAAAGAGGGAAATTTTTTCCCAGTAAAAAGGCCTTAGACAAGGATGTGTGATGTCACCGTGGTTGTTTAATATATTTTATAGATGGGGTTGTAAGAGAAGTAAAATGCGAGGGTCTTGGAAAGAGGCGTGGAGTTAAAAGATAAAGAATCACACAAAAAGTGGGAGTTGTCACAGCTGCTCTTTGCCGATGACACTGTGCTCTTGGGGATTCTAAAGAGAAGTTGCAGAGATTGGTGGATGAATTTGGTAGGGTGTGCAAAAAAAGAAAATTAAAGGTGAATACAGGAAAGAGTAAGGTTATGAGGATAAACAAAAAGATTAGGTGATGAAAGATTGAATACAGATTGGAGGGAGAGAGTAGGGGGAGGAGGTGAACGTATTCGATATTTGAGTGGACGTGTCAGCGGATGGGTTATGAAAGATGAGGTGAATCATAGAATTGATGAGGGGAAAAAGAGTGAGTGGTGCACTTAGGAGTCTGTGGAAAACAAGAACTTTGTCCTTGGAGGCAAAGAGGGGAATGTATGAGGTATAGTTTTACCAACGCTCTTATATGGTTGGTGAAGCGTGGGTGATGAATGTTGCAGCGGGAGAAGGCTGGAGGCAGTGGAGATGTCATGTCTGAGGGCAATGTGTGGTGTGAATATAAGCAGAGAATTCGTAGTTTGGAAATTAGGAGGGGTGCGGGATTACCAAAACTGTTGTCCAGAGGGGTGAGGAAGGGTTGTTGAGGTGGTTCGGAATGTAGAGAGAATGGAGCGAAAACAGAATGACTTCAAGAGTGTATCAGTCTGTAGTGGAAGGAAAGGCGGGGTAGGGGTCGGCCTAGGAAGGTTGGAGGGAGGGGGTAAAGGAGGTTTTGTGTGCGAGGGGCTTGGACTTCCAGCAGGCATGCGTGAGCGTGTTTGATAGGAGTGAATGGAGACAAATGGTTTTTAATACTTGACGTGCTGTTGGAGTGTGAGCAAAGTAACATTTATGAAGGGATTCAGGGAAACCGGCAGGCCGGACTTGAGTCCTGGAGATGGGAAGTACAGTGCCTGCACTCTGAAGGAGGGGTGTTAATGTTGCAGTTTAAAAACTGTAGTGTAAAGCACCCTTCTGGCAAGACAGTGATGGAGTGAATGATGGTGAAAGTTTTTCTTTTTCGGGCCACCCTGCCTTGGTGGGAATCGGCCGGTGTGATAATAAAAAAAAATAATAAAATAAGGTGACATTAAAACAATATCAGAGATGGTTGACACAAACCCACTACCATTATAGTATGCTCCTCACTTGCCGATGAATTCGTTTACCGACGTGGTCTTAGGAACGTAACTCCGTCGTTAAGTGAGGAGAGGCTGTATTTACAGTAATATTGATTTACATTTTCCAATGTAAACATGATTTGTGTTTCATAATAATCGACTAAAAGGAGAAATATAATATTGGTTAACTTAATCTTGAGGACGGGATTAATAGCCTAGCTGGTAACTCTGCAGTAATCAGCTGTTATAAACAAATGGGGAGGATGAGTGATGAAATGGGCAGGGTGATATCCTTACTCCTCATATTGTACTCTTGCATCTTTCCCTACCTCCCCACACCATATGCTATATGTCTAAACACCTAATATGCTTTCTTTTGAATGTTAATATTAGCCATCGTAAAGGGATGTTAAAAAATCAAATGGTGCCAGCAGGGCCGGATTAAGGCATGGACTTTAGGAGCCGCAGCCCAGGAGCTGCTTCCAGCTGGAGGCCCTCCGGAGATTTGCTATTACATCATGTATATGATGAACTGTTGACTGTTGTGATTAATTTTTCTTTTTCCTTTTGAAAATATCACTTGGGGCCTCACAGTACAGGTTGGCCATCACTAATCTGGCATCATCGGGACCTGTAGGGTGACGTATTAGTGAATTTACCGGATTACAGAGTGGTTAGGTTAGAATATACTTAACCTAGCGGTGATGTTTACGCATTGGCGATTTCGCCCACTTTACCCCTATTTTTGGACCATTCCATAGTTTCAGTCTACCAAACTCATAGCTATTTTGCTAGTACAGTAGACCCCCGGTTTACGATATTATTTATTTCATTCCAGAAGTATGTTCAGGTGCCAGTACTGACCGAATTTGTTCCCATAAGGAATATTGTGAATTAGATTAGTCCATTTCAGACCCCCAAACATACACATACAAATGCACTTACATAAATACACTTACATAATTGATCACATTGGGAGCTGATCGTAAACCGGGGGTCCACTGTATTCATTCGATTCTGTCTGTTGTGTACAAGAAATCACCCATTTACCTATTTCAACTACCCAATAAAGTGATCAGAAATTCGTAATTTGGCCAGTTTCACACAAATTTCAAGAGATGCCAGTTTTAAAATAGGGTCCCGAATAAACAGTATGGATATTCCTGGCACTAAAATCTCATTTTATCTGTTCATTAGTCATGTCTCCAGGCCCCTCTTATAATACGCTTGCTTTCAGTTCTAAATTTTTATTCACACAAAAAATAGAATTACTGTTATGCAGTCTACTGCAGTATTATAATAGCTGTATAAATAACATCAACCCATTTATGACTGTGTATTAGTCCGACCAGTTGGACACGTATTGGACAGTGATGTCATTTGTTTACTCTTGAGCATTGGCAGAAATAGAACATTTCTGCTACTTTGACCTCAATATCAAGGTGCTTTCTGTCGTGAAACCAATCAAATTCATATCTTTTTCTGTAAGATATCTTCCATTCTATCACTTGAGACCAAAAAAACAAGAATACATCCCTAAAAACATAGGAAAATGCACTGCAAAGTTGCTGTTTTACACAAAAAAACAAGGTCACAGTTTTTATCTCATTATGTACTGTGTGCTGCAGATTTTTTTTTATATAGTGCACACTTGCCACACAGGCCTATTGTCATATACGTACAGTGGTCCCTCGTTTTTCGTAGTTAATCCGTTCCTGGAGTTGCTACTATTATCGAAATCTACGATTTGCGAATCAATTTTCCCCATAAGAAATAATGTAAATACAATTAATCCGTTCCTGACACCCAGAAGTATTAAAACAAAAAAATTTTTACATGAAATATATATGTAGTACATAAACAATACAATGGGAAATAATGAATGAAACATTAACAGTATAACACTTACCTTTATTGGAGATTCTTCTTAGTGTATGGGAGACTGGAGGAGGAGAGAGATTGGATTGTTTACAGTTTGGAAGGGGAATCCCCTTCCATCAACACCTCAGGTACCAATTACTTTTCTGGAGTTGCTTCTCTTCTCTGTTTCTTAATGCCACTAGGACCAGCTTGAGAGTCACTGGAGTCCTGTCTCGCAAAATAACTGTGGAGAGAGCTCTGTTTCTGGCGTCTCTTTAACACTTCCCTAAAATGGCCCAAGACTTTGTCACTGTACATGTTGCCAACATGGCTTGCAACAACCTTGTCAGGGTGATGTTTCTCCATAAAGCTTTCCATCTTACCCCACATAGCAAAAATCTCTTTAATTTCTGAAGAAGGCACCTTCCATCTCTCTTCCTCCTCCTCTGCAGCAAGATTCTGAGCTGCGATCTGTTGCTGTTCTTAAATTCAATCGTATTTCTCGCCTTCTTTACCACAGGCTTGGCACTAGGAGCTTTCTTTGGAGCCATGGCAGCTTATTTAGTACTTGCAAGCACTAAAATGAGTGGAGTATTATGAAATATTTCGTAGGAGCACGTGAGGGGACCTTCGCTCACTGGTAAACAATGCCAGATTGGCTGGGTAGGGAGGCTGCCCCGGCTCACACCGTGCGTACGTGTCCCGGACGAACTACTATTCGCTAGTCAACATATGATTAGCGAGCCCATGTTTATATGAAAATATCCCTATGATTTCCGAAATCTATGATTCCGAGAACTACGAAAAGCGAGGGACCACTGTATAGCCCCAAATTTACCAGTCACAGCCTATCTGAGTGAGCTGAGCTCATGGTGACCGACAGTGGCTTCAAAGCCACGTTATCTTTTATGGACAATGCACGGTGTATGTGTTTACACAATGAGAATCATTTCTTTTATTCATTGGAACCATGGCTAGGGCTGAAAGTGAGCAGGTTGTAACAAATGGAGAAAAAGAAATTGGAATGACTTATGCAACAAGAAGTGCCACCAAACAGTAGTGGCAGGTTGGTGTGGCAATCCTGGAAATTTGAAATTATGCTAGCTGAAATTAGTGTTGGATTACTGATTGCCGGATTAGTGATGGCTGACCTGTACCTGTATCCCAGAGGCCTACAAAATCTTAACCCAGCTCTGGGTGCTGGGCATGGGTGAACACATGAGTGAAAAATGCACCTACTCCTGTCACATAAGAGGAAATTTATTACAGCATATATCAGATTCCTGATAGGAATTGGGTAGTCAGATAAAAGCAAATTCACACAAAGCAACCTCACATAAAGAGAAGGGAAACCTATTTATTTATTTTTATTATTTTTTTTTTTTTTTTTTAAGTTTTGGCCATATTCTGCTAAATAGGGTTCTAATTGCAGTCAGATTTATTTCGCAAAGTATTTTAAGAAAAGTAATAAATTTGTATGGGGAAGTTCATCAAGCACATTATCTAGGAAATCCTATGCTTAAATTTCAGTTTAAGGGTCTTGAGCAAAATAAAATGGAAAATGACTATTGAATAAAACAGTTCTGATTTCACGATCAGTTTTTATCAGAAAAAATATTAATGCACCACATGCACCAAAAAAAAAATTTCCAAAAAGTTGATGCATTTTATGAACAAAAACACTAGGAAAAGAACACAAAATAATGTCACTGAAGCTAGCTCATACAAGAATAATGACTATTTCATTAAGTATCCTTAAAAATCATTTTCATGAGAAGACTAGTGACTGAGTGCATCAGTAAACAATGCTGATATACCCAGTGACAAACTAATCTTATACTATCACAAATAAGCAGATTAAAAGATGGATGATTGTTGAAAATTTTATTTTAGTGCTCTGTTTCTGACATGTAACACTGCACAGACAAATGGGGAAATTTTTATTTTTATTTTTGTAGCATTTGAATGTTGATTTCTTTGCTCAGCTACATGGAACATGTAGGGGGTGAAATTAATACCTCCGCTACATAGAGATATGTGGCCAGTTGCCAGGCTGGGAAAGCAGTTTTCCAGCGAATAATTAATCACTCCTGATTATTGATTATCTACTGTATTAAAGTCATGAAAATTTTGGTGTTAAGTGCTGAACTGTATTGTAGTATTGATAAATGAATTGCTCTTTTTTCTGCAGGTGGGAACTCCTCTCCTATGGGTTACATGCCTCCCAGTGACAGTATGAAGCCAGTTGCAGCTGATGATGCAGATGCAAATGGGGAAGATGAAGATTTTTGAATAGAAGTTATTCCCTGGTATTTTGCATAAATTAAAGCTTATCTCAGTTGTGCTTGATGGTAAGATATACAAGTGCCTAAAGTGAAGCAGTTTTGCTTGATCTTCCACACTGAGCCTAACTACAATTCTCCTGTAAAATAAGATACCTCTTCATAAAAGGCTGAGTAATATATTCACACCAAGAAATCTTTTTACTTATTTATTTTTATATGTATTTATTATTTTATAAACAAGTTCCTTATTCTTTTATTTTAAATAAACTGTTGACGTACAAAAAAAAGATTATTTTTATGCTCATTTTGTTGATGTATAAAATAGCTTTATACTTCTCTTTGTGTCCTCAGTATTGGGTGGTTGTTGTGGCCCTGTGTCTAAGTACAATATTCTAATATAGTGAATTTACCAATATCTGAAACATCTGAAATAGTCAGGACCTAAGCCACATTGTAAATTTGGGATTTTTGTAAAGTTGGAGTCATAGCCAGAGAACGTGAAAAAGAAAATTCCACATTTCACTAATTTCAATCAGAATCATACGCTCACCACATACATACAGCAGCCAATAAATCGTTTATAAAAAAAAAATGCTTTGGGCACAAATACGTATAGAGTAGTGTGCATGCGCACATATGTGTGCACACACATGCACACACATGCATACACACTTGCACACACGCATGTGTACGCATATGTGCACACACACAGATGCACGTGTACACACACAGTAATATTAGGGTGTCCAATCCATATTAGCTAGCATCTTGGCCAAAGTGTGCAAGAATTTATCAAGTATAACCACAATAATTGTTTCAGAGGTTCCTATTATTTGAGTCATGATAATTGTAGAATTTCTTTTTAAGCCATGTTGCACCACTTACCATGCTCTTCGAGTTATATTCATTGTCGAACTTACTGATACAGTTACGTGCACCATAGCTTCCTGCACTTCAAATCACTTCAGGAGCTTAGTAATATATCAAAAGTAGTTTTTTAGTATTCTCAGAAGTGCCTTTACAGTAATAACACTATGTATCATTTCACTGCATTTTACAAAATTTATAGGTTAATTTAGCATTTTAGCTCAAAAGGAGGTAAGCTTCTGTTGGGTACCCAACTGCTCTTTTAATACTAGATAGTAAGCCTGTTGATAACAGCAGTGCCTGTTCTATACAGTGTTTTAATTCACTTTAACCCATGAGAGCTGGTGGTGAATACTGCATTATCTAAGAGATTACACAGTGTAGGTAATGGAATTATCATTGACACTTGTCAGACAAAAGACTAATATTAAGGCATCATCTCTAGAAACATGAGCACGGGCAGTTTCCTTCACTTGTTTCTTGATAACATATAAGGAAAAAATTATCATAGTGCATAAATACAAATAATCTTTTTTAAGAAGGTGGTTGAGTGTGTATGTGTGTTATGTTTATTTTTCAACAGATCTATCTACCAGGCTAATTTTAAATGTTTAGAAGGTATTTTTTGTCTAATTGTAATTGTGAGTTGAACCACTGTTACTGTTTTAGAATTGGAAATATCACCTCAAGTAATTAGTGATTTGTAATGAAGGCAAATTGCTGTTATAAGAAGGGGATAAAAGAGAGTGCAAAAATTATAGGGGGAGAAGTCTGTTGAGTGTACCTGGTAAAGTGTATGGTAGAGTTATAATTGAAAGAATTAAGAGTAAGACGGAGAATAGGATAGCAGATGAACAAGGAGGCTTTAGGAAAGGTAGGGGGTGTGTGGACCAGGTGTTTACAGTGAAACATATAAGTGAACAGTATTTAGATAAGGCTAAAGAGGTCTTTGTGGCATTTATGGATTTGGAAAAGGCGTATGACAGGGTGGATAGGGGGGCAATGTGGCAGATGTTGCAAGTGTATGGTGTAGGAGGTAGGTTACTGAAAGCAGTGAAGAGTTTTTTACGAGGATAGTGAGGCTCAAGTTAGAGTATGTAGGAAAGAGGGAAATTTTTTCCCAGTAAAAGTAGGCCTTAGACAAGGATGTGTGATGTCACCGTGGTTGTTTAATATATTTATAGATGGGTTGTAAGAGAAGTAAATGCGAGGGTCTTGGCAAGAGGCGTGGAGTTAAAAGATAAAGAATCACACACAAAGGGGGAGTTGTCACAGCTGCTCTTTGCCGATGACACTGTGCTCTTGGGAGATTCTGAAGAGAAGTTGCAGAGATTGGTGGATGAATTTGGTAGGGTTGCAAAAGAAGAAAATTAAAGGTGAATACAGGAAAGAGTAAGGTTATGAGGATAACAAAAAGATTAGGTGATGAAAGATTGAATATCAGATTGGAGGGAGAGAGTATGGAGGAGGTGAACGTATTCAGATATTTGGGGGTGGACGTGTCAGCGGATGGGTCTATGAAAGATGAGGTGAATCATAGAATTGATGAGGGAAAAAGAGTGAGTGGTGCACTTAGGAGTCTGTGGAGACAAAGAACTTTGTCCTTGGAGGCAAAGAGGGGAATGTATGAGAGTATAGTTTTACCAACGCTCTTATATGGGTGTGAAGCGTGGGTGATGAATGTTGCAGCGAGGAGAAGGCTGGAGGCAGTGGAGATGTCATGTCTGAGGGCAATGTGTGGTGTGAATATAATGCAGAGAATTCGTAGTTTGGAAGTTAGGAGGAGGTGCGGGATTACCAAAACTGTTGTCCAGAGGGCTGAGGGAAAGGGTTTTTGAGGTGGTTCGGACATGTAGAGAGAATGGAGCGAAACAGAATGACTTCAAGAGTGTATCAGTCTGTAGTGGAAGGAAGGCGGGGTAGGGGTCGGCCTAGGAAGGGTTGGAGGAGGGGTAAAGGAGGTTTTGTGTGCGAGGGCTTGGACTTCCAGCAGGCATGCGTGAGCGTGTTTGATAGTGAGTGAATGGAGACAAATGGTTTTTTTAATACTTGACGTGCTGTTGGAGTGTGAGCAAAGTAACATTTATGAAGGGATTCAGGGAAACCGGCAGGCCGGACTTGAGTCCTGGAGATGGGAAGTACAGTGCCTGCACTCTGAAGGAGGGGTGTTAATGTTGCAGTTTAAAAACTGTAGTGTAAAGCACCCTTCTGGCAAGACAGTGATGGAGTGAATGATGGTGAAAGTTTTTCTTTTTCGGGCCACCCTGCCTTGGTGGGAATCGGCCGGTGTGATAATAAAAAAAAAAAAAAAAAAAAAAAAGAAACTTTATCTAGAAAATGTTTTTTATCTGTCAGTCTTACTCAAATTATACAAGTGTAGCATCTAAATAAGGTTTCTTAGATCTGCAGTTTGGTTTTATTGCATACAAACTGCCAGTATTTCTATGCCATCAGTTATAAATGCATAGTGATGGCTTTGAAAGATACTTTAAACAAATATTAACCAACATGATTCAGTGGCTTAAGTCCAGCTTGCCTTGTGTTACCTATTTTCCTGACATCTTCATTGATTCTTTCACTTATATATGTATAGTCACACTTACAATATCTTGCTCTTATTTACCATACTCTTGCATACACAATCTGGTATCATGTAGTTTCTTTCTCATTTCCCTTAACTCATTATAATCTCTTTCTTTTAATTGCTTCCCTAGACTTACCACTGTTACTATTGTAATCTCTTGCTCTTACTAGCTTCCCGAGACTCCTCTGTTACCATTGTAATCTTTTGCTCTCATTTCCACTGATGCAGCCATATAACAGTTTTACCCATTCTTCTCTAATTTGACTTTCAGGGTTATGAATATACAGTAACTACAAACTGTATAGTGTGTGAATTATACTGTATTGTATTTATTAGTTGAAAAGACAGAAAGTAACAAACACATTTGTAAATTGGCTCATTGTAAGGTAGTTATTTAAGATGATTTATTACTTGCATTAAATTGTTGAATGGATTTCATGGTGTTTAATGATGTCTGCTTAGAATGTTCATTTGGCTATACTTGGTGGCTGGAGCAAAAAACCCACAAGTGGCTCTAAAAATATGTAATACAGAGCTTTAATTTAGGTGATGGTCTACTCTGGTTTGAGTTTTACGAAATCCTGATAAAATCCTTCATTATTCTGTCATAAATGTAATATCATCTAACATAAAGGCTCAGTATATTGGATATGATTGGATTCTTGCATATATTTTTAAGTAAATTGTAGAGTGTTTACTCTTTTTATTTTTTTTTTTTTTTTTTTCAACAAGTCGGCCGTCTCCCACCGAGGCAGGGTGACCCAAAAAAGAAAGAAAATCCCCAAAAAGAAAATACTTTCATCATCATTCAACACTTTCACCACACTCGCACATTATCACTGTTTTTGCAGAGGTGCTCAGAATACAACAGTCTAGAAGCATAAACATATAAAGATACACAACATATCCCTCCAAACTGCCAATATCCCAAACCCCTCCTTTAAAGTGCAGGCATTGTACTTCCCATTTCCAGGACTCAAGTCCGACTATATGAAAATAACCGGTTTCCCTGAATCCCTTCACTAAATATTACCCTGCTCACACTCCAACAGATCGTCAGGTCCCAAGTACCATTCGTCTCCATTCACTCCTATCTAACACGCTCACGCACGCTTGCTGAAGTCCAAGCCCCTTACCCACAAAACCTCCTTTACCCCCTCTCTCCAACCCTTTCGAGGACGACCCCTACCCCGCCTTCCTTCCCCTATAGATTTATATGCTTTCCATGTCATTCTACTGTGATCCATTCTCTCTAAATGACCAAACCACCTCAACAACCCCTCTTCTGCCCTCTGACTAATACTTTTATTAACTCCACACCTTCTCCTAATTTCCACACTCCGAATTTTCTGCATAATATTTACACCACACATTGCCCTAAACAGGACATCTCCGCTGCCTCCAACCGTCTCCTCGCTGCTGCATTTACCACCCAAGCTTCACAACCCATATAAGAGTGTTGGTACTACTATACTTTCATACATTCCCTTCTTTGCCTCCATAGATAACGTTTTTTGACTCCACATATACCTCAACGCACCACTCACCTTTTTTCCCTCATCAATTCTATGATTAACCTCATCCTTCATAAATCCATCCGCCGACACGTCAACTCCCAAGTATCTGAAAACATTCACTTCTTCCATACTCCTCCTCCCCAATTTGATATCCAATTTTTCTTTATCTAAATCATTTGACACCCTCATCACCTTACTCTTTTCTATGTTCACTTTCAACTTTCTACCTTTACACACATTCCCAAACTCATCCTTGTATATTGTATATACATCATACCTTGTATATTTATTTATCCTCTTTTTCATAAAATATGTATTACTTATTACCAAATTTCTTTCTACACATAGCTCAATTAAAGGCTCCCCATTTACATTTACCCCTGGCACCCCAAATTTACCTACTACTCCCTCCATAACATTTTTACCCACTTTAGCATTAAAATCCCCAACCACCATTACTCTCACACTTGATTCAAAACTCCCCACGCATTCACTCAACATTTCCCAAAATCTCTCTCTCTCCTCTACACTTCTCTCTTCTCCAGGTGCATACACGCTTATTAATAACCCACTTTTCACATCCAATCTTTATTTTACTCCACATAATCCTTGAATTAATACATTTATAGTCCCTCTTTCCTGCCATAGCTTATCCTTCAACATTATTGCTACTCCTTCTTTAGCTCTAACTCTATTTGAAACCCCTGACCTAATCCCATTTATTCCTCTCCACTGAAACTCTCCCACCCCCTTCAGCTTTGTTTCACTTAAAGCCAGGACATCCAGCTTCTTCACATTCATAACATCCACAATCATCTCTTTCTTATCATCTGCACAACATCCACGCACATTCAGACTTCCCACTTTGACAATTTTCTTCTTCTTATTCTTTTAGTAATCTTTACAGGAAAAGGGTTACTAGCCCATTGTTCCCGCATTTTAGTTGACTTTTACAACACGCATGGCTTACGGAGGAAAGATTCTTATTCCACTTCCCCATGGATATAAAAGGAAAATTAATAAGACCAAGAACTATTAAGATAAAATCAAAGAAAACTCAGATGAGTGTGTATAAATAAATGTGTACATGTATGTGTAGTGTGACCTAAGTGTAAGTAGAAGTAGCAAGACATGCCTGTAATCTTGCATATTTATGAGACAGACAAAAGACATCAGCAATCCTACCATCATGTAAAACAATCACAGGCTTCGTTTTACACTCACTTGGCAGGACGGTAGTACCTCCCTGGGTGGTTGCTGTCTACCAACCTACTACCATATACTATATACTATATATAAATTTATTTCTCACCACACTGGCCATCTCCCACCAAGGTAGGGTGATTAAAAAAAAAGTTATACAATAATGAATGATATCTGATTTAAATTTTATTACAAGCTGTGGTAGACTACTATAAGATAGGATTTCCATGTATGAAATGGAATGGGTAATGTGATTGTTTTGTCTTTGAAAATTCGGTTAGATTTAAAATCCAGTTGACCCTTGAACAGCATGAGTTTGAACTGCTTGGGTCCACTTATGTGCAGATTTTATCAATAAATGGAAAATTTTTGGGGGGAGATTTATGACCGAAAAAAAATTAAGAAGTTAGGTATGTCATGAATGCATAAAATATAGACAGATACTAGTTTATCATTTTTCTTTTTTTTTTCAACAAACCGGCCGGATCCCGCCGAACCAGGGTGGCTCAAAAAGAAAAACAAATATTTCTCTTTTTAAATTTAGTAATGTATACAGAAGAAGGGGTTACTAGCCCTTTGCTCCCAGCATTTTAGTTGCCTCTTACAACATGCATGGTTTATAGAGGAAGAATTTTGTTCTGCTTCCCCATGAAGATAAGAGGAAATAAACAAGAACAAGAACTAGCTAGAAAATAGAAGAAAGCCCAGAGGGGTGTATATGCTTATAGTATATGCATATGTAGTGTG